AAATAAATAAATAAATAAATAAATAAAGCTGCAATTTCAGGTGACAACAAATTGAAAATCACTGCTTTTCTGATCAACCTCTAATCAAATAGATCACATACAGTATACATGTCAAAATGACCTAATTAGTCTGTTGTATAATTACTGTCAAAGTTAATCATTGATTCTCCATTTTTTTTACTGCTGGGAGGAGGAGAGGCAGGGTATAAGGGGGTAATTAAGTCTAAAACTCTTGTTCACAGTAAGATGCAGTGCCACCCAACATAAGTTATGAAAATTTTCAAAAAGATAACTCCCTCTGAACTTAACCTTTCCAGGTTAAAAGGCACAGTTCCCAACAACAGGGGGTCTTGCTTGTTCAAGCTTTAACTTTTCAGTTCAGTTGCAAGGATATCTTCTTCRCTTTAAGTGCTGATAAAAAATGTTAAAGCTAAACAATGCATGCTGAAACTTAAAAATTRCGTAAATATGCATAAATAAAGAACCAAATGCTCTGAATTTTTTATTGAATATACATTTTGCTAAAGAATTTCTAGTTAAAAAAACATGATCCCACTACCTGAGCTTTAGCTCAAAGGTTATCATTTAAAGATGTAGAATGACYAATTGCAAAAACTCACATTACTCAGATAAGTTCAGCACAATCTTTAGGAATACAAGAATTACCAGTATTTTAATAATTTGGCACCAAGTTTTCCTTTAAATGCAACAAAAWTGATCTGATTATACACTTTCTTACTAAAAAAACAATAGTTGCAATTAGTGGATTTATTCCGGCAAAACAATGAAAAAAGTGGAAGAAGTAGCTTCTAAATGCCATACAACTCAGGCATTTGGAGTATTTAGGAGTAACCAGTGATTCACAGCTAACAGGTGAGAAACAAAACCTTGAATCCCTTAAGACGAAGAAAACACATTAAGGCTGGCTCGCTCCCCTCCAGGAGAGGAAAGGTGTGAAACAAACCAAGGACTTGTTGGAAGCAGCCTCCCGGTCCACCGTGTGGCCTGTAAAAAATGGACTCGTTTGATTTCCCCCGCACTGGGCTACTCCTGTCAAGACTTTGGCCTCTGGCGCCACGATTCTGTGAGGAGAATTTGGATGAGGGGTGGGCTTTTAGGAAAGAGAGGAAAAAGCACCCTCCTCGGACTGACTCTGTGCACTTGTGAGCTTTCTTTGTCATATTCAGATCCTGATGTGAATGGAGGTTCCTTAATGAGTGAGGAAGTGGACAAACACTTCATTGATTCCCATCCTCCCATTCAACAGTTGCTTTCTCCAGTGTCCTCACCTCAATCAACCAGTTAGTGTGAAGCTTTATGTGGCGCAGTGAAGGTTGACCGTTTGCTGCTTTTTTCTTTAACCCCAGTCACTTTCAAATGTTTGAGAGAATAGAACATTGTGAGAGAATAAATAGAGTGGCCAGCAGTAGGGCAGCCTTTGCACATTTGATTCCCCATCATGCTCATTCGCTGTATTGCCAAAAGTCTTTGCTCACCCATCCAAATGACTGCACCAGTGCACAAAGCAAKGTCCATAAAGACATGGATGGCAGAGTCTGGTGTGGATGAACTTGGCTGGTCTGCACAGAGTCCTGACCTCAACCTAACAGCACACCTTTGGGATGAATTAGAGCAGAGACTGAGAGCCAGGCCTTCTGTCCAACATCAGTATGTGACCTCACAAATGTGCTTCTGGAAGAATGGTCCAAAATCCCCATAAACACTCCTAAACCTYRTGGAYAGCCTTCAGAAKAGTTGAAGCTGTTCTAGCTGCAAAGGGTGGACCAATGTCTTATTGAACCCTGTGGATTAGGAATGGGATGTTGCTTAAACTCAATATRGTGTATGTTGCTGGATCCTTGACCAAAACACCTGATCATAACTGCTTCCCAGGTGCTAAGTTAGCTGCTCAGAGCTATCTAAACATACAGCACTCAACTAACCACCAATGTTACTGTTATCTATTTGCACAAAAACAATTGACTGAAGTTGTCTTTTGCACATAGATACAGGGTATTTCCAAAACTGTCAACTCATACATGGATTTAGGCTTCAGTGTCAGAGAACAGGTGCTGTAGTTGTGTACACTAATGGTCAAAAAGCAGCAAAAATGCTATGGTTTTACTCAAACATAATGTTGTCTAAACAGGCCCCAAGTTAACCCCTCTTCAGAAAACATCTGCACTGTGATGTCTTGGTTTGTTTTAACAGCTAATTTTTTAAATGCAAACTTATAAGCTGTCAAATATTGTTGACTGCAAAACAAGCCTGCCTTTTGAATAGCAGTGTTAGTCTGCATTTCCTTTGAAGTGGCAGGCTAAAGCTTGACACTGTCTCATTGGCTTATTTCCCATTGTACCAAATTAGAAACAAGATGCTTTTCAGAATGTAGGAAGTTTAATGTTCAAAGCTGACATGAACAACATCTAAGTCATAAATTTATGAAAATTTAACATCAGCAACACTAGAACAAAAGTGTCCAGTCCTGGTCCTGGAGGACAGCTATCCTGCATGGTTAATATGTTKCCCTGCTCCAGTACACCTGATTTCAAYRACTGAATTACCTCTTCAAGTTCTGCAGAGGCCTGATAATCACCATTTATTCAAATCGGGTGTGTTGGAGCAAGGAAATGTCTCAAACATGTAGGATGTAGGATTGTAGGATTAAACACCCCCTGCACAACTTAAGAACCAACAGGGTCAGAGCTTTAAAACCCAAGAAGAGCAGACTGTAAACATAATAAATAATAATTCACTTATACTGTTCACTTTAGTCTTCATGACCAACCTTACAACAAATACATCAAWTTTTTTGTGTTTCAGAMTGTAATTGTAARAAAAAAWAARRGGGGGGGGGGGGGGGGACAATGTCATAATATTAACACAAACACTGCAGTAGTAAGCCTGTTTAAGGTAACTTGAAATATACTGATGGCAGTTGTGCTAATTAGCACAGTGACATTTCCATGAGAGCACTGATGTGTGTTGGCTTGGTTCTTGTTAGATAATCCTAATTAAGCACAAACAAGCTACTACAACTCCAGACTATGCTTTTATTGGACAAAGATTTGGCACCAAGTGTAACAAGTTCTTCTTCACTTCTGCACACAAGCTGAAAGTTAAAAAATGAAGATGTTAAGAAGAAATAATTTGGTCCAAACTTAACTTAGATACATGAAAGATGCTGCACTTTTTCCAAATTATTATTAAAACTAAAAAGCTCAACTCCTGCATATATTGGTCAATAAAAGAAAAAGTTCCTAAAATGTTTCTAATGGTTATAAAAAGAATTTAGCAGTCAAATACACTTAGAAAACAGAAATTAAAAAATAAAAATAAACACACATGTGCCTCCTCTCTCCACATCAAGCTGTTTTGAACTGGGAGTCATAATCAGACATCATTTTGGGACAGACTGCAGAGTTAATTGGGGTAATGAGGTCACAGGAGGAAAACTTGAAACTCTTCTCCAAATACTGCCAAACAAACACTGAGTGCCAAACAAGTCTGTGTGGAGAACATCAGCATGACAAACTTATTACAGATTAACAAAGCACTGTGTRTTTTACTGCAAGTCTTCATGTGTTCTTCAAATTAAATCATGACAGTAAACCATTGTTATTGCAAATATTTTATTTTGGGTCATTGTGCAATTCTTCCAACCTGTCTCATTATTGCTCATCACCATG